GGGTACCCATTTATCTTTAGTTAATAATGTAAAAAAGACTGCATTGACATGGTTAAATTCCTAGGACCCTCAGTTCTTTAGGGATGGACTATAATATCTGGTATCATTGCTTACAAAAATGTCTTGACCTTGATGGAGCTTATGTTGAAAAATAAAGTTTCTATTTTTATTTTTATCTGTTAATTACATTTTTCCATGAACTTTCTGAAGTCCCCTCATATTTCTAAAGTTTCTGATCAGCTATAACCTCAAAACTCATTTTTATCCTATGATCAGTTATATAAGAGCTAATTTCATTTGTTACCGTTGCACCAAATGTCTCCATCTCGTTCTCCTCCTTGGAAGCAATATATAAATGACATGAGAAATTCAGAAAAATTCAGTTAACTCAAAAAAGACATGATTCAACCTAATGAAAATGGCTTATAGACAAATAATCATCAATGACCAATATTAGGAAAATAATCAAGCATAATGCACATTTTACATCATATTGTTTTAAAGTGATCATTTCCTTTTTCTTACTGTTAGTCTCTGTTTCTGTATCTTGTACTAAGAATATTATTCTACTTAGATGTTTTTCCTGACTAGAACAATTTCAAATAAACCAGTTCTTTATGCACTATTAACTCACTTTCTTTTTTCAGCATTCGATTAAAATTTGTTTAATTACTCAAAACATCTCAGGTACCCCATAGACAATATACATCTACTATTACCCATAACATTTTTTAAAAACTAAAAAGAACTCACTGAATTAATTTCATAAATATAAACCAAATAATAAAAATTATATTTTAAAAAATCATAATTTACTCTTCTACTACTTAAAATAAGCTTATTTACTGTCACAAAATACCACAAATAAATTGCATTTTTTAAATATATGTTTCATTTTTATCAGTTATACATGCTAGTAGTTTCAAAAATCAAATAGATCCACAAGGCTTCTTACTAAAAAATGGCAGTTCCCCCTAAGTTCACATTTCCTGCTCCCTTTACTGATCCTTTTGCTATTACCTCCACAAATCTAAGTAACGTGTTTACACTGCTACTTGTTTTATTTCAATTTAGTCCATTAGCTCTTGCCTCCCTACTACAAATGACAAGTCTTTAGCTTCCTTTCATTCCCTTTTCTACCCCATCCCTTCCACACAGGGGCACATTTCCATCCCTCTCTCTATTTTTAATGCCATTTTGTCAGATCAAAATTTAGGGTTGAGTATGTTTATTATACTTCAGTTAAAAGGTGTTTTAAGTTTTAAAAGGGTGATTACATCATTCTGACTATGTAAATGCTATTCACAACTCAGTCGTCAAGTATATCATGATTTATTTTCTTTTCAAGCATATTCTTTCTCTGTAGTTGATAACTGTATTTTTTCTCTTTGATTCATCTTCTAGGGGCTTATTACTAACGCAAATCCCCAATAATCCCTGAATTATGTATATCTTGCTGCAAGGGCTCAAACATATCAGGTAGTCTATTAATGTCATCCCCCTGAATTTCTCTTGGAGCCTTCTGACCTTCTCTCATCTGACTCACTGGACATGCTGCACCACAGTCAGCTGGTACACTCTTCCTCACTGGTGTCTACTCTACTGTTTCTTCTGCTTTCTTGGTTTATTCCTCATTTTGTTAGACTATTTCCTAAAGTAACTTCCTAAGATAGGGAAGCTTGGAAGGGAAATTTTTAGTGAGTTACACATCTAAAAATGTCTGTATTCCACTTATTTATTTATTTACTTACTTACTTTGAGACAAAGTATCACTCTGTCGCCCAGGCTGGAGTGCAGTAGCGTGATTTCGGCCCACTGCAACCTCCGCCTCCTGGGTTCAAGCAGTTCTCCTGCTTCAACCTCCTGAGTAGCTGGGACTACAGGCGCACGCTGCCATGCCTGGCTATTTTTTCTATTTTAGTAGAGATGGGGTTTCACCGTGTTGCCCAGGCTGGTCTCGAACTCCTGAGCTCAGGCAATCCACCCACCTTGGCCTCCCAAAGTGGTCTGTTCACTCTTTTTAGAAATATTGTTGAAATGCTAAGCTTCCGGGACTGGTCCTCTAATTTTATCCTTTCACTCCTATTTTCCATTTCCTTGTCCTTTTGCTTCACTTTACAGGTGTTTTCCTTCATTTTACCTTCTAATCCTCCAGCCAAAGTTTTCATTATGGTCATCATACTTTTAGTTTCCAAAAACTTCCTCTTCTATAGTATCCTTTTCTTATTTGATGGATGTAATATCTCTTAACTCTCTGAAGGTAATACTGATGGTTCTTTCAAAACAATTTTTTTTCTTTTGAGATAGAGTCTCACTTTCGCCCAGGTTGGAGTGCAATGGCACGATCCTGGCTCACTGCAACCTCCACCTCCCGGGTTCAAGCAATTCTCCTGCCTCAGCCTCCTGAGTAGCTGGGATTACAGGTGTGCGCCACCATGCCCAGCTAATTTTGTAAATTTAGTAGAGACAGGGTTTCACCATGTTAGCCAGGCTGATCTCGAACTCCTGACCTCAGGTAATCCGCCCGCCTCGATCTCTCAAAGTGCTGGGATTATAGGCGTGAGCCATCACGTCTAGCCCCAAAATAATGTTTTTCAGACGTGTCCTTCCTGCATAGTCTTTGCTTCTTCCAAGTTCATTTCTACTTGTGCTTAGCTGCCTTTCTCAAATGTCTGGTAATCTTTGTCTAACTGCTTATATTTAAGAGTCAGACATTGAAACGCTGTTTGGAACAGAGTTGTCTATAAGTGAGCCTCACTGACTGGTGTCTTTACTGTAAGGTGATGTAAGGTGATGGGCAGGGCTACTTCCTTGGGGACTCCCGATCTCAGTATCTTTAGAAGGCTTTTCTCTTGAACAGGTCGAGTTCTCTTGAGAAGACTTCCCACCTCAAAGCTCAATGCTTGGCTGCCAGTGTTCTGGGAACCAGGTAGGAAAAGAAGACTGGGGTCATGTTGAATAGGAAACTTTTAATGTAATTGTCCTGTTTTCAGCAGAGTTCCCCCATCCTCAGCTCTGCTTGAAGCTCTTCAGCGCAGACTCTTTGATCCTCTCTGGAAAGTAAACCCCAGTTGTTGCAGGTGGCAGAAGGGCAGCTGCCTACGGACTCAGTATAGGGGAGTGGGATCTCCTTCTTATGTTTTTTTAAAAAGTTTTCTCTTTTCTGCATAATCTCTGGTACTTCCAAATTGCTTTTATGCTTGTTTCTTTCTCCTACCAGGTACCCCCAAGTCCTGTGCCTCTTTGGGATCCCGTGATATAAGCCAGTTGCCTCTGTTTTCTCCCTGAATGGCTTATGATTCAGCTTTCTTAGGTCTGCTAAGGTAATTACCGCTAATCCACCTACTCTAACCTACAAAATGTTGTTGCCATTTCCTTTCCCTTTCTGGTCCCTATGGGCTTATGACTTTTTAAGAAACATCTTTACTGTCATTTAGCAAGTTTCAGGAGAGAACACCATCAAACATGGCTGTTCAAAGAGTCACCTTTAAGAAAAAACTCTTTACTTTTTAACGGAATAAAATAATTGATAACACAGCTAAAGACATCGGTAGTCCTTTTCAGAAATATTTACATACTTCTGCAAATATTTAAGTTGTTAGTATACTTTTTTAAAAGACATACTTATATTATTTATGTTATGCTATGATATATTAATTTTTAAAGCAATATAACTCCAAATAAAAGTAGATTTCTCAATGTCAAAAGCTACCCAAACTGTCATAAGTGTTCATTGCTGCATAATTTCTTCAGCATTTATGCATAGTAGACATCTGGATGTTCATTTTTGCTCATGAAATTTTAACTTGAAAAAGGACTGTGGTATTTTAAATATATTTCAGAAACAAAAAGCTTCAGTATTGAACCAGTCAGTATGAATTGCCGTGTGATTAGCTGCTTGAAGAAAAAAAAATCAGGGACACCGCATCAATGGAGTCACAGAGTTTTCCAAAATTGGTCTAGACCAATATGGCCAACAGACCCAATGTTTTGATGTACTTGCCAGTGTAGAGGCCATGCTTGAGAAGGTAGAAAAATATAACCCAATTCTGCCAAGCAGTTAGCCCATCTATGTCTTAAGATATCAAGAAACACCTACCTGAGGATGATTTTCATCAGCTTTTGTAGCCAAAATGCAGAAATCGCCACAGGTAGTAATAGAAATGAGACCCTTCACATATTTAACATGTTTTTCATTGTTTTTTGTATCCCAGAAGACAACACAGTGCTCTGGACGATCAGGTCTGGTATATGCATAAACCACAGTATTTGAGCAATAACCCCACTAGGAAGAAAGGAAGGAGGAAAGGGAAGGAGTTTGAAAGGCAGAAGAATTATTTAGCATTAGGAAGGAAAATTGTATTATTTTATTTTTACTCTCGAAATATTGCAGATATTTATCACTGCTGACAAAATATATTCTTCAGAAATAGAAGACAGATTCAACCTTTTATAAAAATAATAGAGATTTATAAAACAAAGAATGTACTGCAAATATAAATTTAGTTTGTCTAACTTTCCTTATTTTAATTGGTAAGATTTAAGCTTCAATGGTAAAAAATTTTCAATTATCAATAGTAGCTGCTGGAGAGGGGACAACAGGTAGCATGATCCCTGTCAAAGTTTCAATTCTGGATCTCCAAGTCAAAATTCAAAAATAGTCACTTTGCCTTTTTACCCCATCCATATTTTTTATATTTGCTTTTATCAGAGTAATATATTCACATAATATATGGTCAAATAATCCTACCTGGCTTATTTAAAACAAAAGCAAATGCAGAACCCCCTGCCAAATTTCCTGTCTGGAATGGCCGTGCACAACTTCTGTCACTGCAACTGCTCCGGCATTTATTTCTGAATCACATTATCTATTGATTATGGAACTTACACACTTACAGCTTTCCCTTCTAATCCTCCCAACATGTTTATATTTAATTTTGAATTAAAAAATGAAAATATATAAATTATATTAAAAATATAAAAAATAAAATAATATGTTGATATTACCATGATTGTGTCTACCATTCAAACTAAGCTAAACCATGTTTAGCTTTTTGTATCCTGATTACTTTCTAAAATACATTTTTTACTTTAAAATAGTTTTAGATGGACAGAAAAGTTGCAAAGATAGCACAGAGTTCCCATATACCCCTCATCCATTTCCCTTATTGTTAACATTTTACATTACCGTGGTATATTTGTCACAACTAGGAAATCAACATCATACTTTATTTAGATTTCATTAGTTTTTCCCGAATGTCCTTTTACTATTCCAGAATCCCATTTGGGATACTTAGACTTAGTCATGTCACCTTAGGCTCCTCTGGGGTGTGACAATTTCTCAGTCTTTCCTTGTTTTTAATGACCTCAACAGTTTTGAGGAGTACTGGTCAAGTATTTTGTAGACTGTCCCTCAATTTGGGTTTGTCTGATGTTTTTCTCATGCTTAGATTGGACTTCAGGTTTTTAGGAAGACCAGCACAGAACTGAAGTGCACTTCTTTATCATGCCATATCAGGGGGTATGTGATATCCACATGGCATTCCTAATGATGTTAACCTTTATCACTTGGCCAAGGTTGGATTGCCAAGTTTCACCAATATAAAGCTACTTTATTTTTTTCCCCTCTCCATACCCTACTCTTTGGAAACTAAGTGTAGCCACACTCAAGCCAGGGGAACAGGGGACTATGTTCCACCTCCTGGAGAAGGCAATACCTAAGTAAACTGGAATAATTCTGTAAGGAAGATTTGTTTCTTCTCTCCCATTTATTTATTTATTCAAATAATCCATCTATATCAGCATCAACTCTTGGGCATTTATACTTTGGGTCACAATAAAATAATATATCATTTATTTGATTCTTCAAAGTGCTCCAGCTTTGGCCATTGGGAGGCTCTTTCATGTTCTTTTGACATTCCCCCATCCTTTTGTTGTCTGAGCACTTCCTTACTTGCTGGGACTATAAACTGTTTCAGGCTTACCTTGTATTTTCTCTGCCCTAGTCCTAGAATCAGCCATTTCTCTAAGGTCCTTTACCTTTTAAAAATTAAATATAGAATATTTTTATAACAAATAGTCTACCAGATCAATCTCATATTTGAGAGCTTGCTTTTGGATCAAATGTTAAATTCAAGATAAAATACTGATTATATATTACGTTGCTTATTCTCATTTTCTCCTTCTAATCTATTCTCTGCCCTTCTCTACCCTGCTGTGAGCCTTGCAGCCTAGTTTCTATGAACTCCATCACCTGGGCTACCTGGCCATCTGGCTCCCCGTTGGGTTTCGCCAATAGAAAGCACCAGCAAGTGGAGAGGTGAGTTGGAATATTTATTCCCCAAATCCCTCTCTGCCTGGCCGGTTGGCATGGTCTGGGCTCCTGCAGAGCAGCCCCTCTTGCACAGCCACAGCTCTTGTGGGTTCCAGGAGCCTGACTCCCTTGTCTTGCCCCTTCAGGCCCAGGGCTGGTGATGGCTTCTCATTGATGCTAATCTTTGGGTGCTACTTTTTATCATTCCTTGCTGTTCCCCTTAGTCCTGCCCATATCTCTGTAATAAGCCTTTCATCAGTCTCTCTTCAATTACTCCTTTGAGTGTACCATCTATTTCTGGCTAAGACATTGACTCATGGAGTAATTTTACTAACTATATACAGTATTCTAGAAAAGTTTACTAGGTCTGAGGTCTTTACACAAAAAGGCTTCCTTTCTGCTAGCTCCAAAAACAAGAGAGCTTTGAATACACTTTGAGCGATAGTAAGAAACACTGTTTATTTTACAACTGCTGTTAATATTTACCTTATAATTAGGTCGAATGTTTGCAAAATATATAAAGGAATCAACAGCTAGTGCAATTTTCAGTCCACCTCCTTCCCAAGATAGTGCAGATATTTCCTTCCCAGGAACTTTCAAAGTACCCAGATGCTGAAAAAGAAAGTTATCTTTAACCTAAAGTATAACAATTAAATACAAATTACCACCAATCACTTCATAGAGGTCAAAAGTGGTATGAACATTATTTTGTGAAAAGTTACTACTCACTTTAAAATCACGTTTCTTGAATTTTTATAATGAAAAACATGCATATAAGAAAAACTTACAAACTATATCCAAAGAATTCAATAGCAAATTTCATCAAATCTAAAATGCCATAGACTGAAACATGCATTTTTATGTACAACTAAGGAAAGGAAAAAACACATTGCTAATTAAAATATAGCAACTTTGATTATAAGATGCCTCCTCATTTTAAGTTGTAAAAAATTACATTTCTTAGAATCAATGAAATATTATATTAGCAAATTCAATCATAAAATCTTGTCTTTCTCTTTCATCCCCTCACACCCAACTAGTCACCAAATCCTATTGCTTTTACTCCTTTCCACTCTCTATAATTACCTTTTTAATGGATTGAATTGTGGTAATAGCTTCCTAACTTTAAGTCTTACCTTTCATCTGTTTCCTTACTCTCTCCCTCTGCCCTCTCAATTCAATCTCTACTCTGCTGTCACAACTATCTTTCTGGAACACAGATCTAATCATAACTTACCCTGCTTTTTAAAAGGTTTAATAACTTTTAAAAATCAGTAACTCCCCACCATCACATTCTTTAGCATGGCATACAATGCCTGTTTCCCATCTTATCCAAAACCATAGTATGTGGCTTAATATCCCACTATTTAGCCATAACTGCTGTGTGCCTGCTCATGAAGGAACTACTCTGCCTCCACACCTTTGGCCTATACAATATCCCTTCTGCCTGAAATCCCCCTCTCCTTTCCTCACAGCTCCCCTGTCCTTACTGGTCCTTGTCCTCCTGGAGCACGCCTATTCATCCATCAAGATACAGCTCAAATACTGCTTCCTCAATGAGTCCTGCCTTCTTCTCCGACTCTATGGTTCCAGAGAATTAGAGAATGTGCTCCTTAAGAGTATAACTGCATCATATTCACATTTATTTCCCTTTCCATTAATAGATTATTTGATAAACTGATAGTCAATATGTATCTCCAATAAATATACATTCAAATTAATTTTTTCATATACTAATAGTACTTGTTATGACCAAATTAATGAGTGAATAAATGAATACAAACACTTTTTTAATGTGGCTATAAAACAACCAAACATTTTTAATCTATACCTTTCATTTGACAGAATGATATAATCCCAAAATTTCAACGAACTTTGCTGGTATCCCTTGTTCTAAGCAGATATCCTCTAGGGTCAAATTTAATGTTACTATAGTTTGAATGTCTGTCCTCTCCAAAACTCAGGTTGAAATTAATTGCCATTTTGACACTATTGAGAGATGAGACCTTTCGGCGGTGATCAGCGCCTGAGGCCCTCATGGCTGGGACTACTGCCATTTTACAAAGGGGAATTAGGTCTCCTCTTGTCTCTCTGTTGCACTCTCTTTGCCCTTCTTCCTTCCACCATGCAATGATGCAGCAGGAAAGCCCTCACCAGATGTCAGCAGCTCAATACTGGACTTCTCATCCTCCAAAACTGTAAGCCAATAAGTTTCTATTAACATACACTATGCAGTCTGGTATTCTTCATAGCAGCACATAATAGAGTAAGACAAATGTATTGAGCTCCATTTTGCCAAGGAAACCAATGGAAGAAAAAACCCAAAGTTTTAACCTAGGAGGGTCTGATCTATCTGTCTTGCTACCTGTATGAAATTAAAGGGGAACCAGCAAGCTCTCTACATCCATAAGAGGAGAAGAATACGGCCATCTTCTAACTACAAACCAGCCAGGATGTGGCAGTAGCAAGGAAAGAAAACCACCTTTTAGTAAGCCTTCATTACGTGCCAGGCACTGTGTAGGCATTTCCTCATTGTAATCTCCTTTAATCTTTACAACAGCACCATGACATATTTCCTTTATTTCTGAAAATAACTAAACTGTGTCTTAGAGGCTAAATAACTTCTCTATGTCAAACTACACTGTAGAAAATGAATTCAATGCCAGATCAACTTGACTACAAACCCTATGCTCTGTTATCTCCTACCATGGCTAAGACCACAGTGCAAAAACCAGGAGCCCCTGGCCCTCAGAATTTAAAAGCAAATTCTTCTCTGAGGTTTCCTTAAGTTTAAATCGTTAAGTTTAAATTGTTAGATAACTTCCATCCAGGTTATCTTTCCTACCTTAACAATAACACAGATCCAAATAATTCCCCATATATTCACTCACTCAGAAAATACTGACTACTATGCCCTGAGGAACTATGCTAGATACTTTTAGTTACAGCTAGACCAAAACCCACTTACAGTTTCAGTTTAACACTTAACACATTGTTTTGCAAGATAAAAAAACAGACTTTAGAACCCATGTTTTTCTACCTGGGGAAGGCTGAACTAACAAAAATAAGCAGATAAAACATGATGATAAGGCCAGGCGCGGTGGCTCAAGCCTGTAATCCCAGCACTTTGGGAGGCCGAGGCGGGCAGATCACAAGGTCAGGAGATCGAGACCATCCTGGCTAACACGGTGAAACCCTGTCTCTACTAAAAATACAAGAAAATTAGCCGGGCGAGGTGGCGGGCGCCTGTAGTCCCAGCTACTTGGGAGGCTGAGGCAGGAGAATGGCGTCAACCCGGGGGGGCGGAGCTTGCAGTGAGCCGAGATCGTGCCACTGCACTCCAGCCTGGGGCACAGAGCAAGACTCTGTCTCAAAAACAAACAAACAAACAAAAAAAAAGGTGATAAATAAGTAAATGGCAATCAACAAAAATAACCAATAAAGAACATTAATTAAGAAGGAGGTTATAAATATAGAAATAATTAGAATGCAGATTTTTAATTATCTAGGAACCTTGAAAACTATGCGTTTTTTTTCCCTTCACTTTTACATCTACCAGAAATATTGTCGTTTGACAATGTATAGAGAGCATCTACTTTCTACAGTACATTCTACTGGGTAACTTTGAGATACTGATTCAAAAGTATCAGAAGACATCATTTCTTGCCCTAAAAGAAATTATTAAAATACACAAAAATAATATTTAAACAACTGGTACAGGCTTTTATGCAGCCAAAAATACATATCACTGTAGTCTATGGTGAATTTATAAAAGCCAACAGGGTATCCAAAAGGGACAAAATATAGTATTGGGTTAGAAAATAAGATATTCAAAAAACGTATTAAGCTTAGTTATTAATAAGCTCTCACTTTCTAAATTATTTAAAATTCACAATATATTAATTCTCCTACTTGACATTTTCCAATGCTACTTCTGAAAATTCTCTTTTAAAATTAAATTTATTTAAAATACTATTGAGAAGGATAATACCCATACGTACATTTATGAAAACAATGCTTGTATTTTAATGTAGCATCACTGAAGATTAATTATTAAATTTTCTTCAAATAATTGATTACTTTGCAACAAATGAAAAGTATTAGAAGTTTGGAGGAAGGACAGACAGATATGTATGTTTAACATCTAAACACATGTAAAATGTCACACTAAAAATCCAAAAAATTAATCTGAAACTATATTACACTAAATACTACTCAAAAGCTGGCTATGAAAAGAGACACATATTCGGATCACAGAGAATTCAAAATAACTGCTCCACGGTGACTTCTTATGTCAAACTTCTCGTTTTCTGAATGTATAAAATTGTAACTTTTATTTTATAATTATAAAACTACAAGATTATGAAATTCCATGATAAAATACAACAAATGAAATGTCCCTAAAAGAAATTATACCGTTTCCTTTGTTCTTTTTTCCCCTACCTTACTCACTGCACATTTAAATAGAAAGAAAGAAAGAACAAATTTGAATGCATTTACCTCACCAAACGGAGTGTAAAACTGCACAATGTTCACATCTTTGTCCTGCGCGGCCGCCTTCTGGAAGCCCGCCACAGCTAACACACTGCCCATGTGGTTCCACTGGATGCCTACTACGTACATGCCAGTGTCAATCAAAACGGGATCTAGTCAAAAAGAGAAAAATGAGGTCACTGTGGGAAAATACGTAGCCTACAGAATGTTATACTCTTAACAACAACTTTTAAATACTTTTAAAACTTTCCACGTTTTTAAAAAAACAGGGCTGGGTACAAAGGCTCACGCCTATAATCCCAACACTTTAGGAGGCTGAGGCGGGCGAATCACTTGAGTCCAGGAGTTCACGATCAGCCTGGGCAACATGGCGAAACTCTGTCTCTACAAAAAATATAAAAATTAGCCAGGGGTGGTGATGCACACTTGTGATCCCAGCTCCTCAAGAGGCTGAGATGGGTGGATCCCTGGAGCCCTGGAGGCCAAGGCTGCAGTGAGCCAAAAATGCACCACTGCACTCCGGCCTCGGCAACAGAGCAAGACCCTGTCGCAAAAAAAAAAAAAAAAAAAAAAGTTAAAAATTAGAAATTGAGGCCGGGCACTGTGGCTCACGCCTGTAATCCCAGCACTTTGGGAGGCTGAGGCAGGCGGATCACGAGCTCAGGAGATCAAGACCATCCTGGCTAACATGGTGAAACCCCATCTCTACTAAAAATACAAAAAATTAGTCAGGTGTGGTGGCACGCACCTGTAGTCCCAGCTACTCAGGAGGCTGAGGTAGGAAAATCGTTTGATCCCAGGAGGTAGAAGTTGCAGTGAGCCAAGATTGTGCCACTGCACTCCAGCCTGGGTGACAGAGTGAGACTCTATCTCAAAAATAAATAAATAAATAAATTTTAAAAAGTTTTTAAACAGAAAAATTCCTTACTTTGGTCATTCTCATGTCTCATTATTTGGCATCTTCCATTGTCGAAGCAAACAGCAAGGCAAGGGCAATCAGGCTCCACATAGCCTTCTGTGCCATGGTACCAATGAATCCCAGCAATGCTGATAGCTCCAGTGACATTCACCAAACAACTCAGCTTCATTTTCATCTAAATAAAATTGTCTAGATTTAATATTTTACGTTTTAAAACAGAACAGTATAGATACAATCTCAACAGAGTATTGTAGAAAGAATGCTGAAAATACAATCTAAAAATCAGGTGGCAAATTAAAGCTTAATCACTTTACTGGTATACAGGCCATGGACAAATCACCTAAATGTCCATTTTCCCCACATGTAAAAAATGAGGATTAAAAAACACTGAGTTTTTACGAGACTCAAATAACAAGTATATGAAAGTACTTTGAAAACAGCAAAATGTCATATAAAAGTTCATTATTTTACTTCCACCAGTGAGTGGATTTACTTAGTGTCCTAAACCTTGCTAAAAAACAAAACTGTCCCATCAGTAATCATAGATTATAGCTAAACCTTGCAAAGCCAGAATTTTTCTTCAGATTATGCTGCCTGATCCTATTCTATTTTACCTTCTTTCCAGGGATTGATTTTTCTCACTTACCAGTTAAGTCTGTCATTCTTTTTACAAACAACCATTGGTAGCTTGCTACAAAAATACCCTTTGGTATCTACATGTAAACTTTGGCTTCAGATACCAGAAGACACTTAAAAAACTTAAACTGCACATCGCCCTACTCATTATCCCTCTGCTTAAATGCACTGACATCTTGTCCTTTCTACCTACCAAAAAAAATTGGAACTAAAAGTTACACTCTAACTTGTGGCACTAATTTGCTTTGAGAAAACCAAAATTTTATTTAATTTAAAAAAAATTTAGATGATTGGGAAAAAGAAAAAAAATCTGAATTGACTTTAATTACACGAACCATCATAACAAATAAATGTATATACAAAGATGAATGATATGTACAATCATATAAAATTATATAAACAAGACTGATGATACACATACTTACTATAAAATTTCCTTGATTATCATAAATGTGTATTTCCCCATTTGCCATTCCAAAAAGTAAGACTTTACTGTCCGCAGACCATGTTACATGGGATAGCTGTATACCCTTCAGGTCTTTTCCCCAAATACGATTGCCTAAAACAAAACATTATTAAAAGTTGTTCAAGGCCATGATCCTCCAACAACTGCTTTCGAAATGTTTGTTTTCCTAAAGATCTTGCAAATTCTTCACAGCATTCATGCATTCA